AAATAGTGCTCCGTATATTTCCTTTTTTAATGTATTATTTGTGACTATTTTTTGTTTTCTTATTTTCAAAATTTGGATTTTAATGACAGTGGTTGAAACGAGATACCCTTGTTATCTTGATTTAGTATGCGTGTTTTTATTTCTGCCTGTGGACTTCATTTGTAAGTAAATTTTCATACCAAATAAAAACAATTGAAACATGTTGAGTGTATTTTGGTCCTGGTGGGGCTAAAACACAAAAACACAGAATGGATGAAGATAGCTTATTCTTTGACGTCTGCATATGGGATTCAAAGCCTTCTTCCACGAACCAAATACATTTATTTTATTAATGAAAGATGTCAGTTTGCTTTAAACACATCTCCACATATTTGACTATCAAATACAAACTAAGAAACATTTTTCCCACTTTAGCCTCTATATTCATAGATACATTTGTATATGGAAAATGTAGAATTATGTCTTGCTCATTTAAATTTCGGATGAATTAATGTAATTATTTCCAAATCAAAAACATTTGTTTAATTAATTCGCCTACGCTAATTTCCATTTATAAATTTAAATTAACCAAGAAGGATAACCTATAAATTTGCTCCCAAAAATGGCTAAATTTACAAAGAAATTCATAAACAATTATAAAAGACACAAAACATTGTTTACAGTGTAAATTGAAACAAACATATTTTAAGTCTTATAAAATTGATTGTTTAACTTTTTTTTGTAATTTTGGATTATTAGCAGGCTCAAATTTTAATTGCAAACAGCTAGCTGAATTAAAGAATTAAATTGTAGACATGATGAGAAAGTTCAGATTATACAATGTCATTTCCTGATGCTTTTGCGACACAACTATCCGTGTAGCTCTGTTGTTTTAATTTACTTAAAAAGAAAATAATTGAAATTAGTACCTACTCTACGTCCTACGCAAGGGGTCGGCAACCTTTTGAGACGGAAGAGCCAAAAGTAAAAATTTAAAAAATTTTCCAGGTTTTAAAGTGCCACTAACATTTTTATTTCAATGTTTGGTATTTGATTAGGATTAGGTAAATAAGTTTAATTTTTTAATTTAAAATAAATAGCTATAAATATGAAATAATATTTCTTCATATAAAAACATACAATAGTTTCGCACAGAACATATTAAATTATTTTAGCTAGCTCTGCTATGATAAACTTAGCTATCAAATAATATAATTATAGGACTATCCCAACCCACTTTTGAAGACTTAACTTTTTTTTCTTTACTGACATCACCGGCTAAGGGGGTGTCTCCCATTAGCCAGGCAGGCCTCAAAACGGCAAACTCGGACTAACTGGCTTGAATATCGGTTTGAATAACCGTGAATCGGTCGCTTCTGTCCTTTGGTTCCCACCATGCTTATCTTCCACCCCACATAGCCTAGGGTAAACTTGTACCCCACAGTCCAGTACCTAGCTCAACCGTAGGAAGCTAACAACTAAAAAACTACGTAACTCAGGTCATATTAACGATTACTGACAGATAGGGAAATGCATTTTGAATCAAATAACATTCCTTGCATGTTCGCTTTAGTATTACAGTTTTCATCATCGGTTTGTGAGGACTGATACATATTTACAATAGTAATATTTCTTTCTTACTTTTAGCTTACTTTTATTCATCATTTCAAAACGTCTAAATATAAAAAAAAAACAAAAAAAAAAAAAAAAAAAACACAAAAAAAACATGAAAATGCAAATGTGTATTTAAATGGTGATTCAAGGGATTTTTTTTCCATCGGCGTGGTGGGCTGAGAGGTGTGGGGGGGGGGGGGGGGGGTGGGTGGGAATAGGGTTTTTAAATAGAGCTGAAATAAATTTGGAATTACAGAGAACTAAAATGATATAATTTTTTTTTTTCAGTTTTGTAGATTTGTATTTTCAGCTTGCCCAGCCAATGTGTGGTGGCATTGGCTGATTTTTTTCATCATTCGACTTTTGAAGACTGTCGCAGATTTACAATTTTAACTATTCTGAAATGTTCATCCTTAATCATTCATTCTGATATTTACATATTATATACAGAAATAAAATCGTAGAAATTTTGGAAGGAGAGGGGGACGGGTTAGTTTCCAGGAACATGAAATCTTTGCTGGTTCTGAAAGGTAATAGTTATACATTAAATGAGATTTGAATTCAATAATAGAAGTGGTAGGTTATAGTATATTTTATAAACACCAAAATTTGGCTTCGGACGCTGGTGTGGGTTTCCTGAAGTGGGAAAAGATACTGTTATTTATACAGAATATGTACATGAAAGTATATGAAACACAATATATTATATACATTAAGTAATTATAAGCATTCACACTTTCCATTTGTGCCTATCATCTGCAGACAGTCTTCGTTTTATTTTATTATTTTTTTTTGTTTGTTTATTGTTTTATTTATTTTGGTTGTTAACAGAATTCAAAATTTTGAAAATGTATAAATTCAAAACAAATTGAACAGTTAATTATGCTTGTATTTAAAGTACGAGTCATGAAGTTAATAAAATTGAACGTATTTTACAGTTTAAGTAGTAAATATGTGATATCAAGGTAAATTGAAAGGTATATAACTCTATCTCCCTAACGGCTGTAGTAATAATTTGGTTAGCTCCCCTACTCGTTATATTTATGTATTCATCCAGATTATAGATAAAAGGAATAATAGTTTATTATTACAGAATTTATGACAAAAACCAAAGTGAACTTAGAAGAGAAAGAAGACCCTAAAAATCGTCAGAAATTATCATAATCCGCATATATTATAAATAGGATGGTTTTGAATTAAAGTAATTTAGATATTTTGGTGCAATTGAAAAAAGGTATATAACTCAGTTTCCCTAAAAGCTACAGTATTTATTTGTTTATTTCCCTTTCCAAAAAAATCCGCTACTATGCTTTAATAACATTTACCGGGATATCGGGTGCCGAACGTTTTCCCGAAAGACACTTGCCCGAAGGCCGAATTCCCGAATGGACACTTGCCCGAATGCGTCACATGCCCGAATGGACACTTGCCCGAATAGGACAAATGCCCGAATGGACACTTGCCCGAATGCGACAAATGCCCGAATGGACACTTGCCCGAATGCGACAAATGCCCGGAAGCTACTTGCCCGAAGGGGGTAAAGTAAGATTGTTATATGTATAAAGTTTAATAAGTGAAACAAAGTTTAATAAGCAAAGGGATCGGAGTGGTCTAGTGGTAGAGACTGCTAACCCGTAAGTCTCGAGTTCCAAACCGGGTTCAAGTCAGTAGACCGTCCCTGAGTACACTAAACTCTGATGGGTACCTAACTCACGTTAAAGAAAGTAAAGGCGGCTGGGCATGGTGCTGACCACACCATCTCTTCATATGCCGAGGTCACAGAAACAAGTAAACTCTACTTCACTTGCCCTATAGACCGTCAGGTTTGAAAAGGGAACTTACTTACGGTCAAGCAAAAGATGAAAGAATATTCATTTATCTGAATAAAAAACATTTGAACATTTCCTAATTAGATTGTGAGAAATATGAAGGTCTCTGTTACAGATGAATCAACTTACAGTAGTTGATTGGCCAGTCGGGGGATTAGGTTTGAACGGGAACCTTAATCTGACCGCGGCATTGGCGTTTTTTTATATTTTACGGCACTTTTTTCTGTGCCTAAAAGCCTGATGTACGTATACACAGTTACCCTATACTGCACTATAAATACGGTACTTTAAATGAAGAAAAATACGGTAACTAAAAATACGGTATTATAAATAAATACTGTACTTTAAATTGGTACTATAAATTTGTAATAAATACAATGAGTATTTAAGCTATATAGTAATTGAAAATATTGAATCCCACAAATCATCGAATCTAATTAACACATGATAAGCAACGAATCTAACATGTCGGATATCGATTCTAACTACTAGATCGATACTACTGTAACGGAGTTAAATTATTCACTGCAAAGATTACATACATTGATAGCGAACTTGTTTTTTTTTAATATTGACAGTTTTGTTGATAGAATCTCGGTTCAGGTTTAACTCTTTATGTTAATGTTAAATTACTTTGAAAAGCTAGTATAAGCGATAAGCAATAAAATATTATTATTTATTCAGCAATATGTTTATTTTCAGCATTAAATGCTCCCTACAAAGAGTTATAACGGTACTGTAGAGAAGACAAGGAAGTGTCTTTATTCGAACGCCTCTAAAAACAGCATCAAACTAGCAATGTTATTTTATTCATGTCAGTTTGCTTTTAACACGTAGCCACATATTTGACTATCAAATACAAACTAAGAAACATTTTTCCCACTTTAGCCTTTATATTCATAGATACATGTGTATATGGAAAATGTAGGCGTATATCTTGCTCATTTGAATTTCAGATGAATTATATCCGAATCAAGAAAATGTATTTAATTAATTCGCCTACGCTAATTTTCATTTATAAATTTAAATTAACCAAGAAGGATAGCCTAAAAATTTGCTCTAAAAAATGGCTAAATGTACAAAGAAATTCATAAATAATTGTAAAAGATACGAAACATTGTTACAGTGTAAACGAAAACAAAATTAATTTTAATTATTATAAAAATGATTGTTTAACTTATGTATTTTTAATTTTTGATTATTATCAGGCTCAAATTTTAATTGCAAACAGCTAGCTGAATTAAAGAATTGTATCGTAAAAATGATGAGAAAGTTCAGTTTAAACAATACTATCTCGCCATCGTATACTGTTATTATAATTTACTAAAAAAGAAAATAATTGATCCTGGACAAAAATCTGGCAATGTAGCACAGGTGTGCTATGTAGTAAGGTAAACGTACACAGGTAAACGTACACAGGTAAGGTACACAGGTAAGGTACACAGGGTTGTAAGCCCACCCAGGCTTTAAATGACGTCGTCTATGTCACTGTGACATGTGACACACGACAACAATGTCCTAACGACACACGAGCTACACACCTAATGGTTGCTCGACTGCTGTAGAAATTGACAACAAATGAAACTCTTTGGGCCCTTGATTTGGATTACATGCATAGCTCTGTATTGTGAGGCAAAGAAATACACTGTAACAGAAGGAAGCACCTTTACGTGTAGAACTAGTGTACCACCAGATATTCAATGTGTCATAACAACAGTCGCAGATAAAATTATAAACATCTGCGATTGGTACATCAGCCATGTATGTTTAATGTATGGTTACACAGATAACTTTCTAGCGACGTGCGACTATGACTTATCAAAATCAGCAGAAAGTATTCAATATGAAGGCGTCTTGACAGTACGAAATATCAAGAATGATATGCTCAAACTAGCATGTTTAGACGGCAAAGGCGATGAGGTTGACAGCTGCGAATTGGATTTTGTTGGGATTGACATCACAACCCAATCAACAGAACCATTATCAGATGGCAGCCATCTTGCTTTAATCGTGTCATTCCCAACATTATTGTGGATCGTAGTGTGTGTGGTGTTATCAACCGTATGTGTGATCATTAAAAGAAGAAAAATAAGACGTGCTCAGAGAGCGAACGTGCAAAACGTACTTGCTAGAGCCCACGCCTATGCTGCTCAGCCAAATCCAAATACCCAGCAGGACCTTCCTGTCCTTGAACCACCGTCTTATTCTTCGCTCTACTCAAGTGCTGTCTCCCCATCGTGCTCAACGACACTGCAGAATTCTCAACAGTACACGTCATTACAAGACGTTCCTCCAGAGTACACGTCATTTCAAGACGTTCCTCCAGAGTACACGTCATTACAAGACGTTCCTCCAGAGTACACGTCATTTCAAGACGTTCCTCCAGAGTACACGTCATTACAAGACGTCCCTTTACAGTACACGTCATTACAAGACGTTCCTCCAGAGTACACGCCATTTCAAGACGTTCCTCCAGAGTACACGTCATTTCAAGACGTTCCTCCAGAGCACACGCCATTTCAAGACGTTCCTCCAGAGTACACGTCATTTCAAGACGTTCCTCCAGAGTACACGCCATTTCAAGACGTTCCTCCAGAGTACACGTCATTTCAAGACGTTCCTCCAGAGTACACGTCATTTCAAGACGTTCCTCCAGAGTACACGTCATTTCAAGACGTTCCTCCAGAGTACACGTCATTTCAAGACGTTCCTCCAGAGTACACGTCATTTCAAGACGTTCCTCCAGAGTACACGTCATTTCAAGACGTTCCTCCAGAGTACACGTCATTTCAAGACGCGCCTCCAGAGTACACGTCATTACAAGATGTCCCTTTACAGTACACGTCATTACAAGATGTCCCTTTACAGTACACGTCATTTCAAGATGTCCCTTTACAGTACACGTCATTTCAAGATGTCCCTTTACAGTACACGTCATTTCAAGATGTCCCTTTACAGTACACGTCATTTCAAGACGTTCCTCCAGAGTACACGTCATTACAAGATGTCCCTTTACAGTACACGTCATTACAAGATGTCCCTTTACAGTACACGTCATTTCAAGATGTCCCTTTACAGTACACGTCATTACAAGACGTCCCTTTACAGTACACGTCATTACAAGATGTCCCTTTACAGTACACGTCATTTCAAGATGTCCCTTTACAGTACACGTCATTACAAGACGTCCCTTTACAGTACACGCCATTACAAGACGTCCCTTTACAGTACACGTCATTACAAGACGTCCCTTTACAGTACACGTCATTAAATGACGTCCCTTTACAGTACACGTCATTACAAGACGTCCCTTTACAGTACACGTCATTACAAGACGTCCATTTACAGTACACGTCATTACAAGACGTCCCTTTACAGTACACGTCATTACAAGACGTTCCTCCAGAGTACACGTCATTACAAGACGTTCCTCCAGAGTACACGTCATTTCAAGACGTTCCTCCAGAGTACACGTCATTTCAAGACGTTCCTCCAGAGTACACGTCATTTCAAGACGTTCCTCCAGAGTACACGCCATTTCAAGACGTTCCTCCAGAGTACACGCCATTTCAAGACGTTCCTCCACAGTACACGTCATTTCAAGACGTTCCTCCAGAGTACACGCCATTTCAAGACGTTCCTCCAGAGTACACGCCATTTCAAGACGTTCCTCCACAGTACACGTCATTTCAAGACGTTCCTCCAGAGTACACGTCATTTCAAGACGTTCCTCCAGAGTACACGCCATTTCAAGACGTTGCTGCTGAAATTTTTGCCTTCATCACTTTTTTTCTTTTTAATAATCGCTTATGCATTTTAATAAACTATAAAATTTGGATAACTAGACGAACCAACGTATTAAAATGATTGCTGTTTGTAGAAAACCACACAGCAGATCAGGGGAGGGTAAAGCTTGAACAAGGTTTCAGTTTTTACCTTGTCATCCCGCTACCCCCCCCCCCCCCCATCACCAAACCGACACTTGTAGTGGCATGTTTTTACATTTTAAAAGTGATACCTAATACAATACTATAAATTCGGTACTTTACATATTGCACTATATATAATATAATGGTGTCATAAATACAGTATTTTATATATATATATATATATATATATATATATATATATATATATATATATATATATATATATATATATATATATATAATAACGTGAAATGAAATAAAAAATATTATTTAGAGAAAAGAATAGTGTACTTTGAGATTTTGTAAAATAAAGGCCGGTGTCTATGACGTTTAAAAAGTTTAATGCATCTAGTTCAGAACCTAGCAATTGATTTATTACTTCATCAGAATTATTTTAATTCTTTAATTTAAAATATTCAAGAAAGACAACTCATAACTACAATCCAAAATATCGTTAAGTAAGCTAATACATTCATAAATAATTAAATAAAAAGCAAACTAGTGTTTGTTTGTTTTTTGTTTTGTTAAAAAATATTAAAATTTATCCATACAGCGATGTCAGTGTTAATTTTTTTTTTAATTATTTCCACTTATCAATTTAAATTAACCAAGAAGAATAACCTACAAGTTTGCTCCCAAAAATGGCTAAATGTACAAAGAAATTCATAAATAATTTTAAAAGATACAAAACATTATTTACATTGTAAATTAAAACAAAATTATTTTTTATTCTTATAAAATTGATTGGTTAACCTTTGATTTGTAATTTTAGATTATTATTAGGCTCAAATTTTAATTGAGAACAGCTAGCTGAATTAAATAATTGAATTATAGACATGATGAGAAAGTTCATAGTGTTTTGTTATGTCTGTCTGATACTCTTCGTGTAGCTCTGTTGTTTTAATTTACTTACTTAAAAAGAAAATAATTAAAAAGAAAATAATTGAAAATAGTACGTACTCTATATCCTAGGCCAGGGGTCGGCAACCTGCGGCTCGCGAGCCGCATGCGGCTCTTTTGATATCAAGATGCGGCTTTCCAGCTCCTTGAACAAATACTAATAATCTTAATAAAAATATAAAATATTTAAAATAAAAAAAATGTTAGTGGCTCTTTAAAACCAGGGAAATTTTGAAAATTGTAACTTTTGGCTCTTCCGCTTCAAAAGGTTGCCGACCCCTGTACTATTATCAATTATTTTCTTTATATATAAATTAAAACAACAGGACTACACGGAGAGAAATGTTGCAAATTATCGCAGACGTGATATTAAATAAACTGAACTTTCCCATTTTTTTTTATGACAAGTCAATTCTTTAATCCAGCTAGCTGTTTGCAATTAAAATTTGAGCCTGATAATAATCGAAAATTACGAAACAAAGGTAAAACAATCATTTTTATAAGAAACAAAAACATTTTTAATTTAATCGACACTGTAAACAATGTTTTGTACTTTTTAAAATTATTTATGAATTTCTTTTTACATGTAGCCTTTTTTGGGATCAAAGTTATAGGTTATCCTTCTTGGTTAATTAAAATTTATACGTGGAAAGTAGCGTAGGCGAATTTATTAAATAAATGTTCTTGGTTCGGATCATAATCAAATTAATTCACAATAAATTTAAATGAGCAAGATATAAGCCTACATTTTCCATATACAAGCTTATCTATGAATATAAGGGCTAAAGTATCAATAACAGTGTATTTACGACACTTTATTATATTATATATAGTGTCATATTTAAATTACTGTATTAGGGGAATTTTTTCCATCGGCGTGGTGGGCTGAGAGGTGTGTATGTGTGTGTGGGGGGGGGGGGTGGTTGGAATAGGGTTTTTAAATAGAGCTGAAATAAATTTGGAATTTGGAATTACAGAGAATTAAAATGATATAATATTTAAGTATACGAGAAAGTAAATATGATTTTTTTTTAAAGTCTCAGTTTTGTAGATTATTTTCAGCTTGCCCAGCCAATATGTGGTGGCACTGGCTGATTTTTTTTCTACTTTCATCATTCGACTTTTGAAGACTGTCGCAGATTTACAATTTTAACTATTCTGAAATTTTCATCCTTAATCATTCATTCTGATATTTACATATTATATACAGAAATAAAATCGTAGAAATTTTGGAAGGAGAGGGGGGGGGGTTAGTTTCCAGGAACATGAAATCGTTGCTGGTTCTGAAAGGTAAAAGTTATACATTAAATGAGATTTGAATTCAATAATAGAAGTGGTAGGTTATAGTATATTTCATAAACACCAAAATTAGGCTACAGACGTTGGTGTGGGTTTCCTGAGGTGGGAAAAGATACTGTTATTTATACAAGATATGTACATGAAAGTATATGAAACACAATATATTTTATACATTTAGTAATTATAATCATTCACACTTTCCATTTGTGCCTATCATCTGCAGGCAGTCTTCGTTTAATTTTATTATTTTTTGTTTTGTTTATTGTTTTATTTATTTTGGTTGTTAACAGAATTCAAAACTTCGAAAATGTATAAATTCAAAACAAATTGAACCGTTACTTAAGCTTGTATTTAAAGTACGAGTCATGGAATTAATAAAATTGAACGTATTTTACAGTTTTAGAAGTAAATATGTGATATCTAGGTAAATTTAAAGGTATATAACTCTATCTCCCTAACGTCTGTAGTAATAATTTGGTTACCTCCCCTACTCATTTTATTTATGTATTCATTCAGATAATAATAGATAAAAGGAATAATAGTTAAATTATTACAGAATTTATGACAAAAACCAAAGTAAACTTAGAAGGGAAAGAAGACCCTAGAAATCGTCAGAAATTATTATAATCCGCAATATTATAAATAGGATGGTTTTGAATTAAAGTAATTTAGATATTTTGATGCAATTGAAGAAAAAGGTATATAACTCAGTTTCCCTAACAGCTATAGTATTTATTTGGTTATTTCCCTTTCCAGAAACCCGCTACTATGCTTCTTAGCATTTACCGGGATATCACATTAAATAAATTAGATAAAACTTAATTAAAATATCAGAAACATGTTAATAATAGAAAATAAGTTTAGTATGGAAAGAAGAACCGTTGCAATTTATTGTCAATGATAAGAGACCGTAATTGCTGAAAATATAGTGGTTACGGTTGAAATTAGTATTGTTAGTTTGGAGTAAAATGAGAATAAAGCTAAATAACTGCATCCTACTTAAATACCTTACTATAAACTTGATTACTTCCCCTACAAATAGAGAAAGAATGAAAAACATGTATGGCTTATGTGGGTTTCCCTGTGTCAGAGAAAATACCGAATATGCATACAAACAAGAGGCAAGAAAATCCAGAGTTAAAAAGAAAATAGAAACTATAAACACATTCAATGAAAGGTTCTAGACATTCCTTTTCCAGTCTCCCCGACTCAAACCTAAACATTGAAGGAATGAGATTAGTGTAAAAAGGGGGCAGAGACTTAGATCATAGCTATGTTACCCAGTCTTTTGGTAACTACTGCTCTGAATATGGCATCTATGTATTTCTTTTTCTTTGTGTGTGTTGTTTCTGTTGTGTAAGCTTTTAAATGTGTCGCTAATGTCTGCTGTATTAAATTCTTTTGCTCATTTAATTCTATTTTGTAGGGGCTGTAGTTGTCGCTTGACTAAAGTATTATAGATTTTCTTTGTTTTCTCCCCTATTATGTTTTTATTTATCTTAAATAGTTTTGAAACCTCTTTATAAAAACTGCCTATATCTACACCCCCCCCCCCCATAGTGTGGTGTCATATTGTTTGTCTTTAGAATCTTGTTTATTTTGTGACCTATGTAATGTTGTGCTAAAGGGTGATAGTGCGGTTCTATTCTGATTCTATCTAGGTGTTTGATTCTAAAGGCGTTAATTTTTGTGTTGATGTCGTGCAAACCTATACCTGCGTTTAATATATTCTGTATTAGTGTTTGGTGATTAATGTTCCTAATTATTGTACCTTTGAAAATAAAATCCCTAATGTTTTTGTTTGTTTCCTTGATAAATGTGTTGGGTATTGTGCTGTTTGTTGCGATGTAGATTATTTTGGGAATGACGTATCTATTGACTAGAGCTGCCCTAGTGAATATTGTTGTATTACAATTTTTGTATTTGGTTAGTGTATGATTGATTTCGTCCGTCAGATTTGTCCATGTGTCTCTGTTTTCTGTCGTCGGGCTGTCTGTATATGCTATGCCATATAACTTTAGTTTGTCTGTCACTATAATAGGCATATTATAGTTGTTTTTTCCCGCCCATTTGCCCACTCACATTATTTTTTATTTCTGTGCGTAGAGGTGCGCGCGTGTGTGTGTGTGTGTGTGTGTGGATGGGGGGGGGGGGGTGGGAGGGTGACACCAGTAAAACAATAATTGTAAATTAGATGGTGAAAGTTTGCTTCAGTAATTTCAGATAACATGACATCTTAAATTAATTTTTGTATTTTCTTCGTCTTCTTCGTTCTTAAATTAAATCTAGTGTTCTAGATTTATTTCTAATTTTTCTAATTGGTATTGGTAGCCTATGTTATACTAAATGTGTGTGGATATTTTACTATTTACTTTTTTTTTTGCTTTTTCACTAATATCGTTCAACGTGTAGTAAAGCACATTGCGTTTTGACCAATAACTAATTCATAAAATATTTTTCTCAAACAAGTATAGCATTACAAAAATATAGGCCTATAATTCACTTGTAACGGGTGCCGATTGCTAGTATATATATATATATATATATATATATATATATATATTTATTTATATATATATATATATATATATATATATATTTACACCCAACCTAGTGACGCTACACCCT